TGTGTGTTGTTCTTGCCTAAAGTCCTTTCCACTGAATGACTAACTGGATGAGAATACTATATTCTTCTGAAAAGAGCCAGATGGTAAATATTTTCGGCTTTGCAAGCCATAGGTCTTTGTCACAACTACGCAACTATGCTGCTGTAGAGTGAAAGTAGTCATAGAAAATAGATACAGCAATAAGCAAGGTAGTACTACAATAAGAATTAAGAAACATGTAGGCTTGTGCTACAGTAAAACTTAAAGTCTTAGGAAAGTCTTGTTGGAATCCTAATTCCATCATAATTATTTTATTCTTTTGAGCATACTTGAGAATTGAAGAGTAATATTAAAATAATTCCTAAAATAATGAAATAGGAGAATGTTTTGAGAAAGAGCAATATGTGACCACTAAAATCCCAAAATGTATTTTAAATTTACAAAAGTGTCCAATAGACCAAAGTGGTAATTTCAAGATCAAATAAACTTCATGAGAAATATAGCTCAGTTTTCTTTACTCTTTTGAAGTTCCCTAAGAAAGAGTAAGTCATGAAATTTCAATCCTTACAAACAGAACTGCTCGACATAATTCAGAAATGAAAAATGGTCCAGTGAGCCCTGATTGTACAGCATACACTGACACATACTGCCAATTAAGTGACTTTGATTCAGTAGATAATTATGCGGTGTGAGATTCTGTAAAAGCAAAAAAAATCTCCAGGGTCTTTTTGTTTTTTTTTTTTTTTTTAATGTCAGGTTTGGGAACTACGAGGCCAGTGGTTCTCAAAGGATATATAGCCCCCTAAGTAGCAGCAGCAGCATCACCTCAAAACTTGTCAGAAATGAAAATTCTTGGGCTCCATCTCACACTACTGAGTCAGATATTCTGCACCATGTGAAGAGCAGCAAAATTTATCTTTCAGGTGATTCTGATGCCAGCTAACTTTTGACTTCATTAGCCTAAGACACGTCCCTCCCAACCACCAAAGTTGGACTAGGGAGTACCACACGATGTCAATCAAATTTATTGAGATTTAGGGGTCCTAATGTCTGGTTCTTATTACCTCTTTTATGTGTTAAGAGTCCTGTAATGATTTCATGACTAATAATTTAGCTGCACATGGCTAATTCTTGCTGATAACCCATTCTTTTTCTGCCTTGCTATGCTACTTAGACTATCTATGGCATAAAAATTATAACATATACTTCCTTGAGTTTTAGTTTAGAAGAAAATAACATTGATGGATACACTGTAGTTGAGAATACTAGAGGAAATAACACACAAATTAATGGTTTTTGGCATACTGTAAAAGTGCAATAAATGGTGTTATTGTTAATTATTGAAACATACTGTTCTCTAAACTTAAATTTGTGCTTTCTCTTCATCAAAGTTTTTCTCATTGCAAGTTACACTTACACATTGTAGAAAATAAAAATAATAAAAACAACCAATCAATTTGGAAACCCAGATAAACTAACATTTTGATTATATCCTTCCAGTCCTTTTTGACTTTTTTTTTTTCTTTTTTTTTGGTCTCAGTCATTATTTCTTAAATAATACAAATACATAATACAATTTTACAAAAATTGTGCTACAGGATATCTGTGACTTTCTAGATGAAATATTAGAGCTACCCCACCCAGCCGCAGATAGCACTCTAACATTCCCTTAATAGAGTATAGGTTCAAATAATAAAGTCCACACACTGGCTAAAAAGTTCAAGTTCAGAGTTTCAATCAATTTTCATCGTAAGGATGAAACTGAGTTTTACTTAACCTGTGTCTTTTTAAGAGAATGGGCCACCTCCAATACATCCTCTCTTGGACATTTTTTAACACTTCTAACGTTCTGTATCATGAAATCATGATGGCTGAAACAAAATCTACAGATGCTTTTTAAAAAGCAAGTCCCTAAGTGACTGTTACCCATACCAAAATGAGAATTGTGCTGCTATAATCTGTTCTTACTGAGTGCTATGCCAACCTTGGACTAGGATTAAATTGCAATTAAATTCTACAGTGTACAAAATTTTTATCAGTCTGTCTAGAAATAGAAAGAGAACTCTTTCATGGTAGAGCAGTTACTGTGCTCACATTGCTTTTTCTAAAAACCAAACTACTTTCAAACAAAGAATTGACGCAATTTGCAGTAAGTTTAAATATGAGTCATGGAAATATTAAGATAACAGCATGTATAGGCAATAATAAACATGCCATAAAGAGCAATATACAAAACAATCAAACATTATTACATTTGGCTATGAGGTTCCTAATAAACAGGGCAAAATAAATAGTGAAATACAATAAAGTCATTATCATCTGATAAAAGGCTGCATGGTACTTTTCCCAAATGTAATGGATGACTTCAACAACATTTTCTTATTAAATATTTCAAATTGTTTCTTCAAGTGAAAACTTTCCTATTAACTGTAAAAAGGATATAACTTCATAGGCATCTCCTCAGGGGTAAACTAATGAGGCAATTTTTCTTGATATCTAAGTTAATCAACTCAGTGTTGATTTAGATGGAAGTCAAGTTTCAGAGAACCATCCTACCTTTTCAGCTATCAATTATCTCAAGAGAGGTTTTAACCAGAGGACAGTACTCAATTCAAAACATTCTGTAAATAGGCTAACTTGTATTTTTCTTGAAAACGGTAGAGAATTGCAGCTTAGAAAAAAAGCAGGTGTTACCACAACCACCTCTATCTTTTGTTTTGAGTTGGAGTCTTGCTCTGTCTCAGAGGACGGAATGCAGTGGCACGATCTTGGCTCACTGCAACCTCCACCTCCCCAGTTCAAGTGGTTCTCCTGCCTCAGCCTCCTGAGTAGCTGGGATTACAGGCCTATGCCACCATGCCCAGCTAATTTTTTTTTTTGGTATTTTTAGTAGAGGCGGGGTTTCACCATGTTGTCCAGGCAGGTCTCCAACTCCTGACCTCAAGTGATCCACCTGCCTCGGCCTCCCAAAATGTTGGGATTACAGGTGTCAGCCACTGCACCCAGCCAATCACCTCAATCTTATAAGAGCTTAATCATCTTGGCCCTGTTTCAGTGAAACAGATTTTTAAGAATCCTCTTCTGGTAGAGACAACTATTCTCTATCCACATGTTATAATACATACATACATATAACTATTCTTTAAAATTAACTCCCAGGAAACTGATCGAATTAGCCCATTAAATGATATTAACTATTTTTATTCTCCATCTGACCACTGGAACACTGGCTCAAAATAATGAGCTTTGTTTTGGAATAGCTATTGGGTTTTTTTTCACCATAAAGATACAATACTTTCTGCTCATTCCTGACCCTTGATAGTAAATTCATGCCATTAGCAAAATCTTAATGATTTTCCTATTTGCTGTAAAAATATTAAGTATCTATCACGCATACCTAAAAGCAATATGGGATTATTTAATCCTAAGTGGAAAAGGAAGCAGGACCATGTCAAAAGACCTATCACATTCCTTTTGATATTGAGCAAGCCATTCCTTCAGACAACAACTGCCACTCGTTCTATTCCTAAATGAGAAATCAGGACAACTTTTAAACAGCAAAAGGTTTAGAATTCATGCCTAGTTCATAAGATTCTGTTTCCACTGCATCAAGAGGTGACAGATCAATAAAAGCTCTGAGAAGCCTAATAATCTTGGCTTATTTTCAGAAATAAAACAATGTAAAAACGTACACTGATAAAATGAGTAACTAAAAAGTATGTTTTCTCATGCAAGAAGTTGACACGAACAGACAAAAGTTTCCATGCAATATCTAGGGAACCAACTTCTTTGCAATTTGAAGATAAAGGGTTCATGTTTCTTTCCCCTTCTGCCAAAATAAGGTACACTATACTTAGTGTCACCATTAAGGGTGACTAGCCATAAAGTGGTAGATTAGAGGGTTTAGGAAAGATTGGGAGAGGGGAGGACATGTGTCATAGTATCTCAACCACCTATCTACAGTGACCAAATCAAATGATTTAATTTAAAGTGATCATATCTAATGACTTACTTGACTCATTTGATTGAATGTAGAGTGATTAAGTTTGATCTCCCCTCCCCAATTTAGAGTGATCAAAGCAAATTGGAGTAAAATATGCTGGACAGGTAAAGTTTTTAACTCTTCAGAGTCATTTTGGTGGCGAGAAATATAGAATAACCTTTTTCTCTGGAAACCTGTGAACTATAGCATTCTACAGACACTGTGGAAACTGAGGTCTGACTCATTAACCTGTGCAAGGATGGTCAATGCTTAAAAAAAAGTTGCACATAAAAATATTTGAACTTAAATTCCTCCTGAAGCCTACGTAAGACATTATTTACCTTCGCTAAGTTAGTGAAGAAGTTCTTTTGTTTTTAAATTCCTGAGAAGAGTTGTGGGAACCCTCTTCCAGAAGGTAATTAGAAAATGTTAAATATTCTTTGGACCTGAGTCACATGCAGTTGCGTTAAAAATGTATTACTAGTGTGTGTGGTATATACACACACCAGTACCCATTAAAAAATTATTATTGTTTTAGACAGGGTCTCACTCTGTCACCCAGGCTGGAGTGCAGTGTAACAATCACAGTTCACTGCAGCCTTGAACTTTCCAGCTTAAGTGATCTTCCAACATCAGCCTCCCAAGTAGCTGGGACTATAAGCATGAGTGAAACCACACCTGCTAATTTTATTTTTTGTAGAGACAGGGTCTCACTATGTTGCCCAGACTGGTCTCGAACTCCTGGGCTCAAGTGATTCTACTGCCTCAGTTTCCCAAAGTGTTGGGATTACAGATGTGAGCCACTGCACCTGGTCCCATTAAAAAATTATAGCAAATATACCATATATGTATACACATACTTCACATATATAAAGGAAATCTAGTAACATTTATCATCAACATATGCAAATGAAAAACATAAGACTGAATGACTGCACATAGAAACATATTAAGTATTTTATCCCAAATTTAGTTCAAACATGATCTGGAAACACAAAAGTGAACTCAAAACCAAGGCAAGCGACAATTAATTCCATACCTAATAATCCAGTGTCTATAACATCTTCATTTTTCAAATTGTCAGCATGCAACTCTGCAAATACAAAGAGGGACTTAGGTAGGAAAGTAATATTATAATTTGAAAAATACCTCAAGGGCTGTGAAGGCATTGTGGAGCTGTGGAAAGTGCTCTGGAGTCACATAAAGGACTGGGTTCAAATTCTGATTCAATTTACCAACTATATGACCTTCAGCAAGCAAGTGAATGTGTTGACCACTAAGGGAGCCAACTGCCATATACTGTACATAGAATGAGAGTACTGTTTATTCCGGAAGGTAGTTGTAAACACTAAAGGGCATACTAGGCAGAGTTCAGTTCCTTTCTCCATTCTTCAAAATAAGCACGGTACAATGTCCTCTGCAATGGAATTCCACTTATCATGGTTTTGTGACTTTATGATACAAAGGCAAGGTCTCCGAGCAAAAGAGAAACAAACCACCTAGGAGACAAAACTATCAGGATTGCAAAAAAAGGTAAAAAAGGGGGGAGGGGAATGATAAAGAAATGAAACATTGGCAGTCAACCATTTAAGACTGACAGTTTGCATTTTATGCACATTCACAGTTTACTACTTTATGAAGAGGTAAAACCTACATCAACTGGCCAATGTGTCTCCTGTATGAAAATCAAGCATTGTAAGGTTTCAGATGCCATGCCATCTGCAGCCCACTAAACTCTGGGAAGCAATGAAGACAAATAAAAAATGGAGTTAAATAGATTTAATTATATTTAATGAAGTACAACTATAACACTTCATTGACAACGTTTTGGAAGCTTTTCATACAAGAAAGTTCTTTTGTTTTTTTTTTCAGTAACTTGGCAAACGTCACAAACTAGTAAGAATGGAAATTTAAACTGAACTCTGCTTCCTTCCACTATAACATACACTAGCCAACTAAATTATACAACCGTATGCCTTGCAATAAACTTTCAACAGGCCAGTATTTCAACTTTTATTATTTTCCTCTAATAAAATTATCAGAGGAAGAGTGGACTATACTTCCTGCAATAGAACTCTGCACTACACCTGGACACAAACTTAAAAACTGAAAGGCTAATTATTTTACCTATAAAAGTAGAAATTTGGACTATGCGATAAAAATCTTTGTCCCTCAGGATTCTGTGTAGACGAATTGGTGGACAGCACATCTTTATTTGTGGATGAAGGCCACTGAACATAGATAGCCTATTTTAATTATATGCACTTTTCACAGTCTCCTTTTAATGGTGGGTGTTTCGCCTTTTGTTTAATCTTGACAGTATTTCATCCCCCGTGTTTAAGGACTTGAAGATATTTCTTCAAGAGTACCCATTTAATCAAAAGATCCTTTTTAAAAATGGGTCTCCTGATCACGGATCAGGACGCTCCACTTACAAAAGGGCTGGAAAGCAAAGTAAGATGCAAATGAGGACTCTGGGTGAAAGCAGCTGCCACCCTGCGGGCTTAGGCAGCACGAAGGGAGAAGGGTGGTGGCAAGAGCCACACCCTGACTCAACTTTACTCTGGACAGACTTTCAAGGCCTCGGCTTCAATACCTTTAACGATCAAGTAGGCGATGGCGAGAAGGAAGGCGAGAAGGATGGCGAAGAGCAGCGAGCAGAGAATAGAAAGAACCTGGACCGGCCACCGCCGAGGCTGGGTTCTGCTGCCCGCGGCCGCGGGAAAGATACCATTGCGCTTATCTGGCAGGACAGGCGACCCGTCCCCGTCCGGCGGGAGCAGCGAGCCCTTTCTGGGCTCTGACCACGCCCCAGCCGAGAACTCCGCCCGCAGGTCGCGGGCCACTTGGTCGCATCCCTCCTCCTCGTCGACTTCGCCTTCACCCCAACTGTCCCCCTGAGTAAAGGAGGAATATGTTGGCCCAGCCACAGGGCCCGGGGTCCCGGGACGGCGCCGCCGCACAGCCGACCGCCACCCGCTCTCCGCTAACGACATGGCGCGAAACACAGCGAAACCCGCGGAGTATGAGCCTCTTCCACCTGCCCCGCCCCGGGTCCGCAACAGCCAATCCGCGGCCGTGGCCGCTACCACCATGTCTCAGAACCCAGGGGTAAACCACGGAGAGCAAGGTTGGGCGGCGGGTTGCAAAGGAAGTCGTAGGGCCGGAGGAGAGGTGGGATGCGCTTGGACCAGAGCTCGACCCCAGGGCTGTAGCCGGAAGGGGGAGCAGGAAAGCGCGCAGCGAGAAGTGGGCGGAAGCTAAAGGCGGCCGAGTATCCACTCCCTGCGGCGCTTCATCCCTGCCGGAGACCTCCGCCACTGCCCCGTCACCAACGGGAGCGCGCGACTCGACAGCCCCAAAGCCGCATCTTTTCGATGCCGGGTCCTAGCGCCCGCTCGCGCCTTCCGACACACTCCCGAACCTATTTGCCTTCTGCCTTCTTCCCCTTTACGCTCACACTCTTCTCCAGGTTCCCCCATTAAGAAAGGGCAGCTCTCTGCCTGGTACTTTCGCGGTGCTTTCACTGCTCACCCCATCTCCCTTTAGTGTAGTTCTCCCCACCCGCACCACAACTTCCCTCACGCTACTCGACACGCCTCCTTCCTCCTCCGCCCAGGCGCGCGCTCTCCACCTGGTGCGTACCGAGCTCGAACCCTCTCCTCGGAACCCCTCCTTTCGCCTTCCCCGCCCCCTCCCCTCCGCCTCGAGCACTGCGCGCGCGCATTCGGTCCCAGCCACCGCTAACACTAGAGGCTGCTTACCCCCGCCCCCTCCACCCTGCCCCTGACGGCCTCAGGTTTGTGGGGCGTACGTAACTCGGGCGGGGAGGGGGAAGGTGGCAGACCCCACTGCCCCACCCCCTACGGGGTGAGGCGGTATAAGCTCGGGAAGCTGGGACACGGTTGTCTTCCCTTCCCCTGGGGAAGTTGGTAGAGTTTTCCCGACGGAGGACTCGGCGCAGAAACTTCCTCCGTCCTCCCCCCGCCCCATGCAGGCGACGCCGAGTGAGGCTGAGGCTGCGGGCGAATCGCCGCAGAGTTGCGTGTCGGCCGCGCATTCTGATTGGACAGCGGGGAAGCCCGTCAGCCTGTTGGCCTCGCTGATCCCGCCCCGTAGCGCAGGGCAGCCTTTAACCTTTAGCCCCAGTGGGCGCCAGCCACTCAGATCGCTTCTTGTTGGTATGTGTAGCGGCAGTGGCCGCCGGCGGAGCAGTCTGAGCCCGACGATGAGGCCGGGGACGGGAGCTGAACGTGGAGGCCTCATGGTGAGTGAAATGGAGAGCCATCCTCCCTCGCAGGGTCCTGGGGACGGGGAGCGGAGATTGTCCGGCTCAAGCCTCTGCTCCGGCTCTTGGGTCTCTGCTGACGGCTTCCTGAGGAGACGGCCCTCGGTAAGGGATCAGTGGGGCAGGGGGAAGGCGGCACAATGAAAAACGGAGTGAGAGAAACAGGAAGCTTTCTCCGAAAGGAGAAGAATATAAGAGTGGACGAAGGAAGAACTCGAGATGGTGGGATATGTTCTGAGGGAGAGAAGTGGAGGGTGGGGATGCACAAAGAGAAGGATGTGAGACCCTGGAAGTACCCGGTAGGCTTGGCCTAGACAGATGCGTGGTGAAGGTGCTGGCTCTTGGGCGGGGTGAGCGTCTTGGAGCTTTAGGCCCGATTTAGCTGGAAGCGGGAGGGAGGGGCTTGATTCTGTAAGACTTTAACAGCGGCTGCCAAAATTTGTTTTCGTTACTTGTGGGGGTCGTCTGCATGGGGAACTGTTAGGACAATTGACAGGAGATAATTAGCTGGTTTTAATTTAAAACATGGAACAATGGACTCATCGGTAAAGAAAGTAGTTGTCTTTTTAAATTGCGTTGAAAGGGATGAATTAGTTGTTTGCATTTAGTGTCCGTGAGTAACAGAACCTCAGTCTTTGAAAATGTATTTTTGGCAGAGGGAATTTTACCTGTCCTAAAGGTTATGTTAGGAAATAAGTTTGTTAGGAGTGAATTGTCCTTGGGTGGCACTACCGTTTGTGTTTTATAAGACTGACTTTCACCTGAGTTAATATGATAGAGCATTTTAAAGTTTAAAATCAGTAGTGTTATAAAATAACAATAGCTGGCTATTTTTTATATTTGCATGAAATAGAAGAATTGTTTTCACTGTAACAGTTTTAAGACTAGTATTCAATATGTATCCTCCAAGCTTAGCAAGCCAGTTAGTAGCTGATTAAGTCAATGCTTAAAAAAAAGAGAAAACCTATGATCCAGCTGTCCAGTAATCATCTTAACTTTTCCCGTTTTGTTGCGGAATTTGCAAGCTCGTTTTAAATACTAGCAGAATGCATTTTGTTTAAAACAAGGTATAGATTAATCCAGTGACGTTATTATGCATAAGCTTAATATTAGGTTGCTTCAGATAACTGATTTGTTGAAATGAGATTTTTGAGAAGCGTTTAGTATTATTTGCTCATTTAAAAACGTTCGCTGTTTTTCAGATGGGGCACCCTGGCATGCATTATGCCCCAATGGGAATGCACCCTATGGGTCAGAGAGCGAATATGCCTCCTGTACCTCATGGAATGATGCCACAGATGATGCCCCCTATGGGAGGGCCACCAATGGGACAAGTAAGAATGCTTTTATTTTATTTTGCATTTATTTATTTGTTTTTGCCTCAGGTATTCTGTCAAGATTTCAAAATCTAGGTCAATAGTTATAGCTGTTTAAGGATTAGTTTATGCCCGAGTAATTTTAAATAAGCCAAATGTTGAATCATGACTGTAACGGAAATTTGAATGTAATGAAAAAGTCTCCTGAGAAATTTACTGATTACCTCAAAACTAAGAATTTTTTAAATTATTATTATTTAAAAGTAAAGTGTGCGTTCAGGCTTTTATTTTTAATGATTATTTTTTCAAGCATGCCAATTGAAGTTAATGGTCTAAAAGTAAATATTATCTGATACAGCAACATAACTGATTTTGGTAGACCATATAAATAAATAGAATCTGAAAATAGCAATTGTTTTGGTTTAGAGCGAATTTTATTCCTGAAATATCTTCTTCTGTGTGTGTTGGAGGAGGGTGAGGGAGGGTGGGGGGTTTGTGCTCTATAATTCTGATTCTTCATAGGACAGTGCCAGTAGGTACTTCATTTTCCACGTACACTATTTTTTTTAATGCTTATTGCTTCTACACTCCTGCTTATGAGCTGTCCCTTCCATCTCTAGCATAAATTGTAAATGGACATTTTGTAGAAGTGATTTGGATCAAAAGGTTTTAATGCTGATTCAGTGATTTCGGTAGAACTGAGTTTCTAGAGAAGCATCCAAGAAAGGTAACAGGTTCAGTTACCATGAGTAATTTTGTGCTCCATGTTAAGTTCTATATAGATCTTTAGGTGGCTGGGTTATTTCCATTTGAGTATTTCCATAAATCATCAAAAATTTAGGCTAACAAAATATTTTGGAAGCCAATTTCATGTGATCTTTTGCTAATTAGTACTGTTTGATAATTGTTTAAGCTTTCATGGTTAAAGTTATTGGTGAAATTGCAGTGGGAAAAGGAGCTTGCTATGTGTCTGTCTCTTTTTACTTAACCTTAAGAGTAGAAGGGCTTAATGTCAAGTGATTTTCCTCTTTTTTTTTTTAATTTGGAATGTTGCCCTTAATTTTGTTTAAAAAAAAAAAAAAACAAAAAACCTTTATTCAAAGGCACCAGCCCCAAAAGATTCTGCTTGCAGGAGTTCTTTAAATAAAAGAGCCTTTTTATTCTGTTACTTTAGAATAACACAAATTTTAAAACTCTCTAGGTGATGGAGAAACAACTTTGATTCCTCTTCTGTTTCTTTCCATCTCTAAGCAGCAAGGAGCTCTTCTTGTTTTCTTGGTAGAGCTGCTCTAACTAGATAATGAGCTTTAAAAATATTTATTCTTTAAATGCTCTGGTTCTTATTTAAAATTAGTTTCTTTCCACAGAAAGATAAAATAAAACAATTTGCTACTGCCAGATGCTTCTCTCTTTTCTGGGGCCTTCTGTTTCCATTGGGCCAATCAAGGTAAGTTTTGCAAGGGATTGACCTGCTTACCCTTGCTGTAATGGTGCTATTGCACTACCAAAACCAAGATACCAGCTAGTCATATTTCTAGTTTAAAAAAAAAAAAAAAAATGCAGATTTTATTTTTTAAAAGTACTTTCGTGTATCTCATTGACATAAGCTGGTCACAGTTTGCTTTATGGCCCTTTCTCTGTAGCTATATCAGTGACCATCTTTCTAGTAAGTTTACTTGGTATACATCCATTCAAATAACTGATTTTTTTTTGTGTTGTTTCCTTCTACTTTTTCCTAGGCTAATAATACGCCATGTGCCTTTAAGTAGACCTAATTATTTAGATGTTTAGAATTCTTCTCCCTCTGAAGGCTCCTGTTAGTATAATAAATAAATGTTTTAGTAGGAGTTATGCTCTGAAAGTCCCAAAAGAATCTCCACTGTTTTTGTAAGATTTATATAATTCCCTTTTACTAACAAATATGGGACCCAAATCTTGGGAAAAAAAATTCTTATTTTAGCTTTAAAACGGACTGGGAGAGCATGGATAATTTGAATTCTCAAATCGGAAATCTTACTTGAAACTCTGTAAACATTGCTTTAAAAATTAAAGGTGATAATAAATAGCACAATTGATCTTTTTCCTGCATTATTTCTTCTGCCACTCTCAGAAGTACTCAGAAGTAGTAAGTGGTCAGAAGATAATTGAGATGAAGCAGGATGTCTGTCTGTATCATTTACAGTTGTGACAGTTGGGAGGGTTCTGCCATGCAATTTTAAAAAGTCAGTTCACAAATTCTTTAGACTTTGGGACTGAAGGTTATGAAATCCTTCATGTATTGAGTGTCTTTCATGAACATCTCATGCTGGGACTAGCTAAAGACTAAAATTGGTGGCAGTCTTACTTGCCAAATAATTGTGGTCTTTGGAATGTTACCAATATGACATGAAATTATAAAACTTGTTTGTAAAATAATATGCAGACTGGATAGCTTAATGATGTATGGAAGCCAGGGTTCATAATTTCTCAAATGCATCAAGCTATTTAGCTTAAAGAAGTAGTGTGTTCAAATTTTTTTTTACTTATTCATGAGATGACCTAGAGTGCCATCTCATGCATTTAGGCTGACTCTTAGTAGTAATAAATATTTGATGATTATCAAATTGAGCTTAATATTCTTTCAGGTTTATTTCAGTTTTCTATCTTGTAGATTAAATTTGCCTCTTACTCTATAGAACTTTATAGGAAAGTCATAATTTTAGAGTTATAGGATCTTATAGCTGAAAGAGACCTTACAGATTGTTTAAAGCTTTAAATAACATGTGATTTAAGATGCTTTGAGGTATCACTGGTTAAAAAAAAAACCATCATGTTAGTAAAGAAAGATAAAGAATTTTCCCTGCTGAATGGCAGTACTCAAAAATTTCCCATTGGGAGACCGAGGCAGGTGCATCCCTTGAGCTCAGGAGTTGGAGACCAGCCTGGGCAACATGGTGAAACCCCGTCTCTACAAAAAATATTTAAAAATTAGCTGAGTGTGGTGGGGTGCATCTGTCGTCCCAGCTACTTGCAGGGCTGAGGCAGAAGGATTGCTTGAACCTGGGAGGTCGAGGCTGCAGTGAGCCAAGATTGCACCGTACACTCCATCCTGGGTGACAAAGTGAGACCCTATCTCAAAAAAATAAAGATTTTCTGTAGCGATTTCTACTAAAATAAAATTATGTCTGAGGCTATCTTCTTCCTCAGTGTCCATAGTAAATAACGTTTTCATGTCTTACTCTTTTGTCTTTTCTACACAAAGGACGTGCAAGTCCTGCCATCTTTATCACAGATGATTATGCCTTTGCCCCAGAGAGTCCTGCTAGCTGGCCCTTTTTTTTCCCTCCCTATTTTGAGTCTTCATTTTCCTCTATCAATGAGAAGAGTACAGTAATTGAGTTAAGGTCCCTTTCAGCTCTAACAGCCTATGATTCAGTTCAGATCATTTGATAAGAGTAGATGATATCAGATTTTACGGGAAGATATGGAAATAAAAGAACCGAAAATTCCTATAGTACTGCCTCCCTAATTCTATTTATTCAGTACCTTTTTTTTTTTTTTTTTTTTGGTCTTTGGTCGGTAAACTGATAAATGAATAATTGCTTTTTACAAATGAGTTTGATTTTCTTGTTCTTATATTGAGTAAGGCTGGCTCTAACAGATCTTATTTTATTTCTGTTCCTGATACCACATGAGCCCAAGTCGTCACTGTCCCATGCCTAGGTTATTCAACAGGTTTTGAGTTCAGTTGGTTTTCTTCCTTCAAGGATGCCCCCTTGCCCCCACAAATTTTAGATTTTAGCGTGTGATCTCTTTGCCCTAGAATCTCCAGTGCTTTTCAGTGCCTTGTAACATAGTATCTAAATTCCACAGCTTAACTTTAAAGAACCTCCCCATAGTACATGTCAAAGCAGGATTCAAGGCTGCATGTCTTCACACTCCCTAATTTGAACTTAGGCTGGTCTTTGCAGAGTGTCTTGAGTGATTATATTAGTTCAGAACTTCAAACTCAGGCTGTTCTTACCCTCCTGCCCCCAGCTCAGTATCACTATGAACTTTACTTTGCTTACCTATGTTGTACTATTTCAAATCCTGCCTTCTCCAAAAGTTTCTCAAAAATAACTTTTGCCAACATATACCTCCCCTTCAGATTATTAAAGAAAATATATGTAATCTACCCATAACTCTTATTGTTTCATTTATTTTGGCACTTAGTTATTGACTTGTTTCATGGTGTCTTATTTGCTTTAATTTTCCAACAAGTAATAGATTGTAAGCTCTTAGAGGGCAGGGGCTACGTTCTGTACTTTTTAAGAAGCCTGTAGGTGCTGAGCACAGTTCTTGGCACATCATGGGTGCTCAGTAAAATACTTGTTGAATGAATGAAACAAATACACAGGTATTCTTTCCTGCAGTAGAAGCCCATTAGTCAGTTAGTGTTAAATGTGACTGTTTCCAGTGGTTACTTGTGACTTTATGTTGTTACTACTTATTCTTGTTTTTAGTGTCTGCCTCTTTACTCTTAACTTTTTCATTGACAAAAATGGAAGATAAATAAGATGAAATAAATAATTTTTGTTTGGAGAATAAAACTAAAATACTTGCATTTACAGTCGACCCTCTGTATCCAGAGATTCAAGCAACTGCAATGGAAAATAGTCTTTTAAAAGAGCAACAACATAAAAATACAAATTTTTAAAAATATAGTATAATAACTATATAGCATTTACATTGTATAAGGTATTGTAAGTAATGCAGAGGAAAAATGATAAAGTAGAATATAGGCCTTGCAGAGAAATTCAGTGTATTGGTACCTTAGACTTATCTGACTGATTTGACAAATTTATTTGTTGCTGTTCCTTCTGAATCACCCTTACTTTTGATTAGCTACAGGATCCATGCCATTGAATTGGGCATTAGCCAGTGACAAAAAAGAGATAGAATTTTTGTTTTTTAGGTCATCTGCTCATAATTCTTGAATCTGGATACATGTGGATGACTCAGGCAAGTGCTTTTAAAAAATATCTTAAATCAGACGT